GCTTGAAGATACTTACACCATTGAGGATCACACCAATCATGCATCGGCTCTTTGTCTGTGGAGTAATGATGCTTGAAAATAGCCCATGATTTTTCATAAATTTTATCTAAATCAGTTTTAGATTCACGTATTGCTTTAGCAAAATAAATTTTAAATTTGATTGCATCAGCATCAGTCAGACGTCCTTTACCAGCAATTTTTTTACCATCAGACAAAACTTCATTCTTATTTTCTTGCTTGATCTTTTTGATACGAGTCAACATTCTTTTTGCAAAATGATTTGTATCTTCGAGTTTTTTAATTGTGACACCAGGATATGGAGGATTAGTTGTTAAATATTTATGTACTTTAGCATCGCCATCTCCAATATAAGATATATATTTAATATCATATTTTGGTAAGCATCGACAAAACATTTCATAAATCATCTCTTTTTCCATTGCACCGGATGTTCCTAAATTAGAAATACTTTTATGATAAAATGATATACAATTCATTAGCAGATACCTATAAAATTCAATTGACATTCATGATTCTCCTGAAATGTACTAAATAAATCAAAATTAACATGACGCAGACTTTCTGCACCTTGACATTTAGAACACTTTTTGGAACACCAATTAGTATCTATAACTTTTGGACTCACTGTTGTTGAACATATAGCTGCGATTCCATGAAGACTAGAGAACCCTCGAGTTAGCCATGCACCATCACCACTTACGGTTAACTCTTCTACACCACCAGCTTCAGAGATAGCATCTTGAACAGCATCAATCATTGACTGTTCTTGAGCTTTTTCTAAATAATTTAAAATAAATTCTTGTACTTCACGATACTTGTGCTCCTGAATTGGTAGTGGTAAATTTAAAGCACCTAGTAATTTCATTACTCCACTACGGCCTAATCCACATAAAGTACCTCCAATACCTAATCGAACATTGATCTCATGACGTCTACCATTTTGCATTTTCGGTGACGAATATAAACGAGTGAGAAATCCACAATTATAGCACATGAATTCAAGCTGCATGTATAATCCATTTCGTTCTTTGACAGTTGTTGATCCGTCCCAATATTTATTGCAACCAGGACATAAAAATTGTTTTAGCAATGAAATTAAAGAATTCATGTGAATAATTAAATTAAAATCCAAATTATCTTTAACATTCTGTTTACTCGTTGTTGATTCATTTTGCATCGACATAAATGATTCTTCGTTCGTGCTTGATGATGATACATAATCTCGCTTCCTCTTCAGATTGTCTGAACGAATTCGTCTTCATAATTGATTTTGTACTTTTCTTTTTGTACGAATTATTTCTTTTATCCATTGAAACTTTTATTTTTGCGATGATAATATATAAGTTGTTGTATAACGAAAAATAGTTATCACCTACTGCTGAAAATACAATTAACAACTGATTTTAATCTACAAATATAGTAAAACAGTTCCAAATAAGAATTTTTATTTATAATTTTGTAGTCTTTAACAATATACATATTTTTACATTCATGAAAAAGTACTGAAAAGTCCTTGGTACTTATTCTTCCAATAAAAATTGACTTACACATGAACTGTCAGAATCTTCATTCTCTTCTATCGTTTCTATATATTCGCCACTCGCACTATGCACCAAGCTATTATACTTAGCGATACATGTTAACCATAGAAATCACTGTAAAAAATCAACAGGGAAGCTCAAAAGACTTCGAAGATCAAAAAATCTTTAAAAAGATGTTATTTTCTAGAATAGGGGGTTTCAGAAAAACTGATGTAACATCCTGAAAACTCATCATAAAATACATAAACTATAGTGCGTTCGATAGCGGACACTTTGGTCTATTAAACACGGTATAAATCAAAAAATCGAAAAATTTGACGAAAATTGACT